TTAAATCCTCCTATCCCCAACCTTGCATCAGATATGCAATCTACTGTATATGCATTTCGGACAAACTGAAACCTGTCTTCTAGAGGTAAAGTAAAATGATCTGGCACTGTTGTTGCGGATTTTTAAGGGCTTCCAAAACCGCCCCCTTCTTCAAAGCAATAAATGTAACCATAAGAGGGGTTTAATTTAAATATTCAAAATATGTAAGACATAACGGTGGGACAGAAGCTGTGTTTATGACCGGGCTGCTTTCTCACAAAATGCTTGATGGACGCAAATTTCCAAAACGATCCACGAGAACTTAATCATCTCCGCTTTCAGGCTGTCCTGAAATTCTGCTCAAATAAGATATCTCCGTTTCCTCTGTGCATCATTAAAATCTGTCCATTCCAGGCTCCCTTATCTTTGTTCATAGTATTTCTCTGCCTATATAAGTAGGCGATGTGAGGGTCTAGATCGAACCCCAAGACACAACGGGACAGATATGTCCCGTAATGCAATTGGTGAAGGCCCCTCGTAGCCGACAGAAAAGAAGGACCCACGACACAACGGTTAGAGCGTTAGACTTTCAAAACAACCGAATGCGATTTTGAGTCCCTGGAGCTATAAAACATGGATTTGGATATGGCTGGCTAATAACGGCTAATAAGCCAGAAATCGGGACAAATTATTAGAATGTTCTTCTGCAAGGGTGCAACGCTATTACTACGGCATCTAATTATAATTTAGGGGATAATTGTTTAGTCGACGATGAAAGGGGTGCTTGCTAGTGTACAGACAAGCAATCGCAATTTCAGATCACGTATGAGACGAGAATGCACAAACCTCCTCCAGAGTAATCAAATTATCTGCCTTTCCCCCTCCTCGCCGTCAAAGCCTTGAATGAAAAGTGTTCTTTTTGGCATTCAAAAAGGCAATAGAGTAGGTTTACTACAAATAACTATAGTCGTCATCAAGAAACGATGGTCAATAGTTGAGTGCGACCACTTACTTTCGAAGAGTGTGTGTGAAGAGACCATCGGTCCACTCCCTGGTGTTCGGGTCCAGGTACCCGTAGAGGGAATCCTTGCTGATAGACTTGGGATCGATAACGTGAGCAACGCCTTCTACACCCTCGACACGTTCAAGGGCCTTGAGGAGGGCACGCCAGGCCATGGACTTACCACTGCCCGAAGGACCCACCATCATCAAACCGTGATGAATGCAAGTAATCTGGTAGAGTTGCAGAACCTTCTCCACCC